CAAGCATCAGGCGGGTGTCTGTCCATATCAAGCCGTCTCCGACTTCCAAACGATCTCGAAGATCAGCGAGGTCCAACGCGATCCTCCTCTCCGTCGGCATCTCCCTTCCTTACGGCAGAGGTCGACGAAACTCTTGCAGTCCGTCACGCACAGGCTGGGGATCTTGCCCATCAATGTCGTCCAGTCGCTCTCTGATTCCCAGCCGTACAATATCTCGGCCAACGCCGTCCTCACGAAACACGCCCTGTCAAACCCGTAGCTCGCACTGGCCGCCTCCGCTGCCAATGTAGATCTTACCACACGATGGATCTTGCTCGAGCACCAGTCCACCACGTTGACTTTCTTGGCTTCGAACTTCTCGTCGGTTAGCAGGAGGATGAATCCTTGTTGCGATCCACTCCTCGGCTGTCTGTCGTACGAGGCATCGTGTACACACATACATCCAAATCGTCCCGATCCATCTCCGCGATGAAATCGTAGCTTGACGTCACGCGTCACCATCTCCTTGGCCATGCTCAACACCGTGTTCGCCTTGCACAGCTGGCCGACCGTCAAGTCTGGCGTCCGCTGTTGCAGGTCACTGACGTCATAGGCTAAACCAGGTAGTGTCGTCCGCGCGGGCCACGATAATTGTTGTCCCAGGCTGCGGTACTTCGAGAGCTCTTCTTCGGTCGCCTTGCTCTCGGGGTCCTTCTGGATGCCGGCACGAAGATCTTCTCCATCTTCTCGATGTACTCGTGCTGGTCGACCTCTACGGACTTATCCGGCAGCTGATTGATGCGCCGGCCGAGGAACTCGAACTGACCCTGCTTCTCCTTGGTCACGTTGAGCTTCTCGCGTACGATCTCCTTCGCTCTGGCGAACCGCTCGCCTGTACCGCCCCAGAGTCCGTCGTCCACGTGAACACATAGGACCGCCTCGATCTTGCCTTTGTCGTTCCTAATGACAAAAACTCCTTTCATGGTCTTGAGCGGCTGGAATCCGGCCTGGATCAACACCTCCGAGAATCTTTCCCACCATAAGCGAGGTGACTCTCGTAGTCCGAATACACCCTTGAGCAGTTCCACCAGGCTCCCAGCAGGAACTCCAGGTAGCCCTTCTCGGGGAGGCATCACATATAACCGTCTCGTGTTTGTCTTGCCGGTGAGGAACGCCGAGCCGATGTCGAACGTCCCGAGATCCCAGCCAAAATGCGCCGCCAAGTTCAGCAGTAGCATCAGCCCTACCATGGGCGCCACTGGTGCATCTGTCCGTGTACCTGCCGTTTCTGACGAAATCGCCATGCGCTTCGCATGCTTGATGCCGAGCTTGCCCTGGTTGTCCGGGTCGAGATGTCCCGGGATCACAAGTCGGCTGTTCGGCTGGCCCTCCTTGAGGGCATGCACGAAGCGCGCCGGCACCTTGAAGATCCTCGACTTGTCGACCTTCGCCGCCTCATCGGGCAGGACCACCCTGACGGCCTCGTGCTCCAGGTGCTGGTTCCAGTTCTTGGCGATGCTCTTGTTGAACCCAAGCCACTCCGCCTTCGTGAACTTCCTCGAGTCCAGCTCCTTCCCCTTGGTGCCTGCCTGAAAGGGACGGAGCTCCAGCGAGAACACGTCGTTCATCGCGTACAGCGTCTCCGTGTCCAGGTCCGGGACTGGGGTCTCGACGGCTTGGTTGAACACCGCCTCCACCACTGGTGCCTGAGGCACAACCTCTTCTATCTGCGATAGTGGTGTAGGTGGTGGCGTAGGCGCTCCAACACTCCCTGCTGGTGATGGCTGAGCTTCGGGCTCAGGTGTCTGTCGTGGTTCTTCCACTCGTTCGGAGACAACTCCCGGCACTGGCACTTCAACAGGATTCGGAGGTATCGTCGTATTCTCCATCGAGTTCGGTCTCAAGTCCTCGAACGTATGCTGACCCCTCGAGATCCCGCTCAGGTCCATGTTGTAGTTCTCAAGGATGCTGCCGATGGCCTCGCTCGCCAAGCGCTCCTCTGGGGTTGCCGACCTGATGTGTTGTGGTGCCACCAGCAGGAGGTTCCCGTTGAACACCAGCCAATACGCTTCGTTCTGGCCTTCGCGTCCCCACTCCCTGCCGAGGATGACTGCTGGACCGTGCCAACGGTCTGCTCGTCTTGTAGATCGTGCCTGCGGCTTGAAGGTACCTGCCGCTCGCCAGAAGAACACGCACTCTCCGGGCATCCACGGCGAAGGTGTGGGTCGATAGTTGTGGACGATGGCCTTCCTCCACTTGTCACTGTTGTCCAGCTTCGCCAGCGCGACCTGAGCCGCCTCGCGTATCTTCTGCGACCGCTGGACCTGGTAGCCCTTGAGCACCGCGTCGCGCACGGCGATCTCTGGGTACTGTTCGTCGCTGAGGAGGCTGTTCAGCACGCTGCCTGGTAACCTGTCTCCACAACCGAACACTCTCATCCTGGGGCTGTATCCTGATGGATCCACTCTTCGGTTCTTGCAGATGTTCACCGCCGCTATGGCTAACTCCATCTCGGCCGGGCCCTGGATGGTGCACTCGTCCACAATCGCGCGCACGATGTCGTTGCTGACGGCCCCGTGGCGCTCGACCAGCCCGTGTTGCCACGGACTTTCCGTGGGCACCACTCTCATCGTGATTCCCACCGACTCCGCGTAGGATGCAAAATCCTTCCTGAAATCCGAGCCGTTGTCGGAGTGACACACAATAGGTACTCCGGCCCAGGCGCACCACTTCGTCATGAACATTTTGGCTGCCTCTGCACTGGAGGGATTCTCCAGCATGATCAGGCACGAGAACTTCGTCGCGAAATCCACGCAATTCAGGGCCAGGTACTTGCCTCCACTCGCGTCCTTCAGCTCCTTGGTGTCCACCCCGACCGCGATCCCAAATGACGTGGGTCTCTGTCGGCTCGACACCACTCGACGTCGCTCTGGAGCTGCTCGTCTCGCGCACACCTCGCACTGCCATACCTTCGCGTAGTCCAGGTGCAGCTGGGAGGCTCCGCCTAACCTCATCACTCGTAGTAGCGCTTCACGGCCGCAATGACCCAGATTCCTGTGTGCTCGTCGTACTTCCGCGCGAACTTCAGGCGGAACATGGGCCACTTCTTGTTGGCCTCTCGTCGTAGTGAATATCTCGCCCGCTGGGAGATCCTCTGGATACAGCGGGTCCCTGGTGATGTCCGCCTCCTCTGGCACGTCCCCTTCCTGTTCCACCTCGTCCTCCGGGTTCTCGTCCTCTTCCGCTGTCGTCGGAGGTACTTGCTGCTCTTGAGGCTCTGGTGGTTGTTGTCCTTCAGGATCTTCTGGGGTACTTCCGGTAGAACTTCAGGTAGAACTTCAGGTAGAACTTCAGGTGGGGCTTCAGGTGGGGCTCCTCGGAGTCCGGGCGGAACCTTCTTCAGTATCGTCACCACCTTCCGCAGTTCTCCTCGCGTGCCCGAGGTTTCTGGTCCATCTTGGTCCACCTGTTTGTCAAACTCTTCGCAATACCACTTCTTCCCGCCACGGTCACTTGTCTTCTTGACCGCATAAACTGATCTCACGGTGTGCTCGGGGTAGTTCTTCGACCATAGTTGAACCCGACCTTGTCCCACGTGTATTACAAGGTCGCCACTGCCATGCCAGCCGGGCGTCAACTTCGTCAAATACCTCGTCTGATCGAATGAAACTGTACGTCGTAGTTGGCTAGCGCCGCCATGTGAAAACGTCGGCGCTCGCACCTTCTTGATGATGCCCTTCTTGTCGTTACCCAAACGTGAACGCGTGGGTGTGGTACCCAAACGTGAACGCGTGGGTGCGGTGATAGGTGGAGTAATCGTAATCGGAGGAGTCGTAGATACAACCCTCACTCTCTTCTCCTTTTTGTTGGGCGTGTGGGGCTGGCATTCTCCGTTTTGATATCGTCGGTGTGGTAATGCGTCGTCGTTTTGCCTCGTTCGCAAGGGCGTCGTGTGTATTCCTTATGTCCAACGCCTCCATGAACACGCTGATGACGGCCTCGGCGAACTCCTTCGTGTAGCCGCCGGCGTACGTGCTCGTCCTCATGTTTTGCTTAGCCAATCGCCCTTCGATCTTAGCGTGTTGTCGGTGTCCTGGGCACCGTCGTTCGAGCTTGTCCGCCATCGTCTGTGTGGACATGATGATTCGTGATGGCTTCTTAATAGGTAAATCCGAGTCTGGATGTCGGAGCCCGAACGCGCACATGTCCACCACCGTCGTGCCGTGCGACTTCAGCAGCTCCACTATCGGCTCCTCCTGGAAGGCCTTGCTTGTGAGCGGGTTCTCGCCGTAGAAGTAGGCTCCGCGCTTGCGTTGGTAGTCAGCCACCCTCTTCACGAACCTCAACGCTCCACGGGACTGCTGTTGTCGCACCTGCAACTCCTTCTGGAACGCCGGGCGGTGTGCCTGGTAGTTGCGCATCGCCGTCCAGGGGTCACAGGGCCAAGCCATGGCCACCACGTCCGGCTTGTTGTCGACGACCTCCCTCCAGGCTCGTGCCCGCCCAGAACGTGTGTAGAGGTCGAAGCCCGTCTCGATACTAATTGGCGGCATGACCTGCCACCCTTGCGCCGCCGCCTCGCACGATAGAGCAAGCGTCCACGATAATATCTCCAGGAACTTCCACCTCTTGGATCTCGACGTCACCGTCGGTGGGTCCTTGTGGACGGATCTCTTCGCCTCTGCAGCCAACGCATCCGCAACTCCTCTCGTGGTCCTCTGCAACCGATTCTTCCTACCTCGCTGTAGGACTCCAACACGCGAGAGGTCCTTGAACCCGAGTTCGCCGGCCTCCTCCTGTGGGGTCATGTCCATCTTGCCATTGATATGGAAACACTCCGGGAACTCGTTCGGGTTGCCATACTCTCCGATGTCTACGAGGAAATGTCCCGACCGTGATTGTTTGATCGGCTTCTTGAACACTCCGGCCTCCTCGATGTCCATCACCTTCTTGCGGTAATTGACGATCACGCCTAGATCCTGCATCGCCTGCTGCGATAGCAGTGGTGGCGTTCGTCCTTCCACTCGAGCCACCTCAATGACTCCGTGTGTACCATTTATCCCAGCAGGATAGACGTACGACTCCGTGCTGACTGCCACGTCACCGCCGCCGAACCTGAACTCCTCATTGATGTCCTTCTTGACCGGCTGGAGGCCCAAACTCTTCAGGTGGGTCTGCAAGTTGTCGTGCCACTCGTGACCTGCGACGCTGCGTCTGCACCCGCTATCGTTGATGAGCTCCGTCGTGCCGATGTCGTCCCACAACACGTCATTGACCACGAGCGCGTCCTTCTTGTCCTCGCGGCTGTACGCCTTGTCCCTGATTTCCTTCGCGTAGTTCGTCTTCGGGATCCGCTGGACGCATCGGTTGCAGTTCTTGCAGATCGCGAACGTCCAGGTAGATGTGCTTGTCCAGCGTACGTTGTCCAGGATCTCGCCGGAGCCCGCATTCTTGTGCTCGCAGGGATTCTCCACCTGGTCGGTGATGAACGATATCAGCCTATCGATCCTCTCCTGCTTTGAGCCGCTGTAAGGCTGCTCGAGCATCAAGAGTATATCCTGCAGCTGCTTCGCCGTCAGGATCCTGAACACCTCCAGCTCGCAGTCGGTCACGTACCCCGTGTGGTGGTCGCGCGCGCGGTTCGTGAAGTCCACCACGAACTCGTCCAGCCGCGCCCTGTACCGATCGACCAACGAGCGTACGTCGTCGCCGCTGATGTGGATCCTCTCAGACTGGAACCTCGAAGCCGCTGGTTGTCGGTTTAGGCTTCGGCCGCGCTGAGGGCTTTGGCTTCTTGCCGCCATCGGCACTTCCAGCCGCTCCAGAGGGTTTCTTTTCCACGTCCTGCCATCCGTCAGCTTCTTCATCCATGAACGTCGCGTGCAGGTTGGATCGGAGGAGTCTTCCGACCAGCTCCTCCCGCGGTCCTGTCGATTTGTGCTTCCTCCTTGCCAACTCCGCACTGAGCTGCTCCTCGGTCCAGCTCTTGTAGACCCCCTCGGATTCGTCTGAGTCCTTCTCGAAGGAGTCGTCTTCGAACTCTGAGCCCGGTGTCGGAGGCCTCCTGGGATCCAGCCCAAGGTTGTCGCTCTCTTGCTTCACCTCCGCCTTGACCTTCTGCGAACCCAGCACGAAGGCATCCACCGGTCCCGGATGGGGAGATGGCAATTCTTCCGCTCCGTCGTTCAACCACTTGAACTCCATGTGCGCCGTACTGTCCGTAGCCATCGTTGCCGCCACGTTCGCCGAGGAAGAACCCTTCTTGCCGTCGCCCTTGCCGCCAGGCTTGAACGGAGACGTAATCCCCGCGATCACCTTCGGGCACTCTGGGTCGCCCTTCCAGTGGCCTGGCTGAAGGCAGTCGTCGCACACTCCGGACTTCTTTCCCCGGCCGCCACTCGCGGTGTTCTTCCCGCGTCCCTTGCCGCGGCCAAACTGCTTCTTCTTCGCCTTGAAGCCCTGGTAGAACACGTCCAGCACCACCTCCTCTTCGTCGCCCATGGCGTCCGAGTCCTGATCGCCGTACTCGCACTCGTCCTCCTGGTGGTTGTCTGGCGCCTCCTCCGCCACGAGGGCGTCTTGTGGCTGACCGTCTTCGTCCTCGTAATCAGGGTAATCTTCATCTTGGCTGAACTCTTCATCTGCGTCCATTCCTCCTGCGTAATTGGCATTCCAGACTGGCCGCCGAAACCAGCCTTTTACACCTCCCGATGCTCCGGAAGGTTTTCCTCCTCCCGCACTGCTGCCTGAAGTAAACTTCGCAGTGGGCTGTCCAAACCGTGGAGGGAACTGTCGATACTGCGTGTGTTTGCTCGGGTGCTCGTTCCTCTTGTCTACACGCCGCTTCTCGTCTAGGTGAACATCTCCATAGACCATCTTGATCGTCGCTTCGATCTTCTCCGAGTTCCACTCCGCGCCTGCTGCTGCTAGTACCTGCCGCTGGGCTTCTCGTGATAGCCCTGAGCTCCGCAAGAGCTTTCTTGCGAATGAGGTGTCGGAGTACGTGGTGCCAGGGTCGTGTACCTCAAGATTGCGCCTGGCCGTCTTCAACCTCGCGATGTAGTCGTCGACATCTTCTCCAACGCCTCTGCGGCACTTCTCGAACGCCCTGAGGCGCTTCTCGCTACGCTCGTAGTCCTTCTCGGTGAACTCCTCGTCTAGAATCTCCATCAGCTTCCGCAGGCCGGCCTCGCTGCTAAGCACGTCTAGGTCAAGTGTCTCGACCAACTCCCTTGGCTGTCCATCGCCCTTCTCCAGGCTGAGGTACACCAACGGTCCGAGGTCCGCTGGAGCCACCTTGCAAATCTTCTCGATGATCTCAATCTCCTTCCGCCACTCGCGATAGGAATTTGGATTCCTCGCCAACTCCTTGCTAAGGACCGTGAGCTTCACCCCTGGCATTCGACCATCACCTCGAAACTGCAGACCACCTCCATCGGCGCCTGCTTGTTCTCCTGTCTCTGGCATCGTGTGCAGGAGATCCCAACTGCTGCTCACAGACTCGCTGTCCGTGCTCTCCGTCTCGTCAGTGTCCGTGACCTGCTGCGGTCACTCACTCGATGAGCGCTGCCCACTGACTTCGTGAATGATAGGAACCAATCGCTCCGCTACCAATGCGAAGATCTGCTTGGAATGAAAAGATGTTTCTAGCCCGAATCGTTCCAGCATCCAGGACAAAGCCGAAACGGATCGAGTCCTGCTGCATCGTGAAACACAACTGCGTGCGACAAGGCACAACTGCGATGAAGACTAATAAGAAATACGACTAATAAGACTACTCCTACTCCTAGGAATACTCCTACGACTCATCCTCAGACAGAACAGAACGCATAATACTCAAGAAAGAGAAGAAGAAGAAAGAAGTACAGAAAGGAAGAAGAATAAGAAAGAACAATAAGCAGACGAGGAAGAAGAAGCACGATAAGCAGAATAAGGCGAAGAAGAATAAGAAAGTAAAGACGACGAATAATCCCTCCTCATCCTCCTCACCGAATCCGGCTACTCAAAAATCCTCAGATCCTCCTAGATACTAAGCCGCAGCATATTACTAATACGCCTCACTCCGACGACATCATCATTCATCATCCTCATCCTCTCATTTCCTCATCATCCACCCTCACATTTATTACGCCGCGCCTCCTCCTCATCCCCTCTCCTTCCTCCTCCTCCCCTCCTCATCCTCCCTATCGCCTTCTCCCCTCTCCCTCCTTCTCCTCCTGTCCTCCTCCTCCTCCTCCTCCTCCTCTCCTCACCTCCTCCCCCCTCCTCCTCCCTCATCCCCTCCGCCTCCTCCTCCTCCTCCTTCCTACTCCTCCTCCTCCTCCTCCTCATCCCCTCACTCCTCCGTTCTCCTCTCCTCCTCCTCTTCTTCAGCCTCCTCCTCCTCTCCTCCTCCTACTCGCCCTCTCCTCCTCCTCCTCCTCCTCCTCCTGCTCCTCCCCCTCCGCCCGGGGTGGGGGGGGCCTGCTGCTCCGGAGCGCCAGCTCCCACACAAGGAAAAGATGATAAAACTCTCACCGAAACGTCCGAAACGCCCGCCGGCGCCTAAATGCGCGAGGGGAGCGGCCAGGGAGGGTCCTCCTCCTCCTCCTCCCTACGCCTCCTCGCCTCTCCTACTCCGTCCGCCGCCTCCTTCGTCCTCATCCGCACTCCTCCTCCTCCTCATTACTCCCCTCCTCCTCCTCACCCTCCTCCTCCAGGATTGATTTTTTGACCTGGAGCAGGGCAAACGTGACTCCAGACTTGTAATAAAGGGAGGGGGGTCTCATTTCGGGGGGGGTCTCTTCCAGGCTATCTTGGAGGGCCTGGGGTGGTCTGGGGACGATGTTTTGGAGGGTTCTCCCACGGGGGGGGGTCTGAAATGGCTTGTTTTGGAGGGTCCAGACCCCCTCCCTTTTATTACGACATCTGGAGTAAGGAAGAAGAGAGCCCTTGGAACCCAGCAGAACCTCACTGAGAAGCGTGCTGGCCGGTCTTCCGAGCCACTGTGAGCTGTGGCGGCGAGAGGGGCCCCTGACGGCCCCGAAGGTCCAGAAGAGGAAGAGCAGGGGGAGAAGGTGGAGGAGGAAGAGGGCGGAGAAGGCGGAGAAGGAGGAGGAGGAGGAGGAGGAGGAGGAGCGCGTGGCGGGGAAAAACGCGGAGGACACGGCTGAGCGCCGGACCGGAGACCTGCCCTACTGGCCGCTATCGGCCTGCTTTCAGCGCAACCCGCGCGCGTGGATTCGGCGCCGCCTCACGCAGCCGCTGTCGACCTGCATGTGTGGTGCGGCACTGGAGCTGTGGTTCCTACCAGTTGGTGCGGGGAAGATGCACCACGCAACGTCCTCATGTGCCAGTGCTGCGCGTTGGCGTGTCAAACTGGTAGCACGAGGACCGAGCATGAGGCAAAATGCGACCAAGTGAAACTTGCAATGCCCTAAGGCCGCCTCGCCTACCTGATGCGATCAGTGCTGAGCCTGGTCTTTCTGGTGCTCTTGGGGCTGATCTTGGGGGTGTCGCCGGCGCCTCCAGCAGCGCGGTCGGTCACCGCCAAGTTGGCCAGCCCTGACGAGGAGGGGCGTCGCAGGGGAGGACCATCTCAGAGGCGGACAGAGGCCCCACTCATCTCCCTGGGGCGACCTATCAGAAGCCCAGCTGGATCTTGAATACACTCCCACACACACACACAGAACGTCCCGACACGTCCCCCTCCTCCTCCTCCTCCTCCTCCTCCTCCTCCGCCTCCTCCTCCTCCTCCTCCTCTTTCTACTCCCCCTCCACCTCCCTCCTGCTCCTCCTGCTCCTGCTCCTGCTCCTCCTCCCCTCCCCCTCCTCCTCCTCCTCCTCCTCTCCTCCTCATCTCCTCCTCCCGTCCCTCCTCCTCCTATTTTCCCTATCCTCTCCTCCCTCCTTTATCATCCTCCTTATCCTTTTCATCCTCCTCCTCCTCCTCCTCCTCCTCCTCCTCCTCCTCCTCCTCCTCCTCCTCCTCCTCCCCCACTCCTTGCCTCTCCAGCTGCCTTCTCCTCGATGTCTAATCATCGTTGTGCTAAGTATTAATATTAGTATTAGTAAGAGCATCAGGATTCGCACTTGCATGAATAGCAGGAGTATTGCTATTATTCGTAGTGTGGTTATTATGAACAATACTACGTGGATCAGGGTTAGTAGTACTATCATCGTGTGCATTACTAGTATGGCTATTGGCATTCTTCTTATGCGTACTCGAATTAATGTTACTGTTATTACTAATATTACTAGTATTCCTCCTCCTTCTCCTATTCCTCCTCTTCGTCCTCCTCCTCATCATAAGCATCATCATCTTCGTCCTCCTCCCCCTCCTCCTCCACTCCTTCCTCCTCCTCCTCCTCCAACACGTCACTATCATCAGCATTGGCATCATCATGATCAATAGCAGCATCAGCATCATCATCAGCAGCAGCATCATCATCTTCATCATCATCATCAGCATCATCCTAGTCATGATCACCACCATCGTCATCCGCATCAGCATCATCATCATCACCAGCATCAGCATCATCATTATCATCAGCAGCAGTAAGGCATCATCATCCTCATCAGCATCATCATCGTCATTATCATCACCATCATCATACTCATCAACAGCATCATCATCAGCAGCAGTACCACCAGCATCATCATCAACATCTGCAGCGTCATCATCGGCATCATCGGCATCACCATCATCAGCAACATCATAAGTTTCATCATGTCCAGCATAACCAGCATCATCATAATTATTATCATCAGCACGAGCATCAGCATCATCATCATCATAAGCAGCATCAACATCATAATCATAATCATGATCAGCATCAGCAGAAGCATCTTCATCATCATCACTCAGCAGCAGCATTATCAGTAACGCATGAGCAACAGCATCAGCATCAGCAACAACATCATCATCAGCATCAGCATGAGCAACATCATCATCAGCAGCATCATCACTATCAGCAGCATCATCATCAGAATGAGCAACAGCCGCAGCATTGTCATCCTCATCAGTATCGTCATTATCAGCATCGTCGTCGTCATCATCACAACCAGTATCACATCAGCATCAGCAGCAGCAGGACCATAAGCACCATCACCATCATCAGCACCAGCATCAACATCATCATCATCATCATCATGATCATCATCATCGTCACCATCCTCATCATCATTAGCAGCAGCATCATCAGCATCGTCATGACCGTCACCACCGTCATCCTCCTCCTCTTCTTCCTCCTCCTCCTCCTCCTCTCCTCCTCCTCCTCATCCTTCTCCATTCCTTGTCCTTATAGATAACTCCTCCCTGTCGCACCCCGAGGCCAGTTTTTAGGGCGGGCCGGGCGCTTCGCCTGAGACTCCCTCACCATTGATGGTTCTGAAGCTTAAACAGTGACAACAGTTTCACAGGTGGAGGGCGGGTCGTTTTCAAAATGTGGCTCTCGCCTTAGCGCCGCGCACATTCGTCTTCAAAGTTTGCAAGAGCCTCAAAGATTGAGGGCGGGTGGTTTTCAAAATGTGGCTCTCGCCTTAGCGCCGCGCGCACTCGTTTTAAACATTTGCAAGAGTTTCGCGGATTGGGGGCGGGTGGTTTTCAAAATGTGGCTCTCGCCTTAGCGCCGCGAACACTCGATTTCAAAATATGCAAGAGCTTCAAAGACTCAAGGCGGGTGGTTTTCAAAATGTGGCTCTCGCCTTAGCGCCACGCACACTCGTTTTAACAATTTGCAAGAGGTTCACGGATTGAAGGCGGTTCCTTTTCAAAATGTGGCCCTCGCCTTAGCGCCGCGCACATTCGTTTTCAAAATGTGCAAACGCTTCACGGATTCCCATGATCAACGTACCAAAAACTGAGATTCGGAAAGATTCAAGGTCATGCGGGTGCAACAGTTATGTTGATTCGCAAAGTTAAAGTCCAAAAAATGGCGTTCTGGCAGGACTCCGGATCGCCGAAACGCAGCAGTCAGGTTGATACGTGGCGCTGAGATCACGAGAACCATGTTTCGGCATGCTTCAGGATCTTCAGACGGTTGTCTTCCAACGAGGCAGTTCCTTCAATGAAAATGAACCGTCGTAGGGGCCTATGAAGAGGGAGCTTGGAGGGAGGGTTCATTCCAACATCGTTGATGACTCTTGGGTTTACACTGGTCCTCCTCCTCCTCCTTCTCCTTCTCCTCACCCTCCTGGTGTTTCTCCTCCTCCTCATCTTCATCATCACGATCATCACACCCATCGTCACCAGCACCACGGTCACCATCATCATCATCATCAGCAGCAGCAACAGCTTCATCAGCAGCTCATCATTATAACCATCATCATCCCACCAAGCAGCCTCATAATCATCATCACCAGCATCATCATGAACTTCATTATCATCGGCATCAGCATCAACATCATCATCAGCATCATTATCTTTAGTATTAGCCTTATCCGCATCCTCATCACCATCGATCTATTCATTATGTTGCAGCATCAGCTTCATCCTCATCATCAGCATCAGCCTCAGCATCCTCATCAGCATAACCGTCGTC